TCAAGTAACACATGTGAGATTGTTTTTAACACGTGATAGTAATAAGTGAAACTTATGTATATGTATATATATTTGAACTACATATTGTTAGTCCATTGTGAGGTTAAGCCCGTTCCTCTTCTTAATGTAGATAATATTGTTTGCGGGCTTAACCTTCCAATGAGATAGCAATATGTAATTTAAATTCGTATTTGGCAAAAATCGAACCTAATATCTCTTACTTATAAGTAAAGAAAAATGTTATTAGATCGTATTACTAAGTGGCGAAACTTATATAATATTGAATTCGGCTATTTTGCCACTCATCTACATAATAATGAGCCAAATATTCTTGTGAGATGAGGGTTTGTCTTTTCACCACTAAAAAAAAGATGAAATAAATCTCTTTAGTGGCGGTGTCGGTTGGGGTCGGTTGGACTTTGAGAAGAAGCACGAGACAACTGTTTGGTATTGAGGAATGCTTTTTAATTCCTTAAAAAACTCGATATTCTTTTTTCGTTTTACCCTTGTTCTGAAAATCCAACTTTTCTCTCCTACAAAATTCAACCCCTGGTTCTCTTTTTATTGACCCTAAAAATTACACGGATTAGACCGAAGTAATCTAGGAGCTAATTGCTAATGTGAATGTACCAATTTATTATCAAGCTAGGTCTGGCTCCTACACCGGGTGACTTCAGTTGACGAAGAAACACTTTCGGCTTTGAGTTTAAAACCTGAAGACAAGGTTATGTCTTCTACTACAAAGTACAATCTTCTGCAATAGGTTCAACGACTTCAATTATATTTGTGAAAATATAAGTGCGCATAATCGGTATCAAGTTGTTGGGACAAATATACGAAAAGGAAATTAACATCTTTATGGTGATTGTAATTCGGTCGTCTGAATGCCGAACTCTGAATGGTACTTGTGAATCCCTATTATAGAACACCTCACTTCTTTGAGAGAGCAAATAAAGTGACCTCTTTCGGTAAAAGAATCAAAGACTCTTCGCCAGCTGAGACTTGGGATAAATAACCAGAAACTCCTAAGCCAAGCTGATTCTACTGCTCCAATTATGTTCATCCGAACTGAATTGTAAATGATTTGTCAACCTAGTGATGTTTAACCATACTAAATATGTGTTGAAAAAAGTTAGTGAAGCAGTTAGTATTTTTCTTAGGAGTGTGAGAGGGTTTCACATAGAGCGTTTGTCTGTGTGTTGAGCTGAAGGTCATCTCTATGTTGCAAACCACTTGTATTTATAGGAAAATTTGGTGATGGCCAAGTCTGTCGAGTAGTAGAATCACACTAGGATTAAAAGTCCCTAGGGTTATAAAACTTCACTCAATATTATCCTTGTTCAATCAAGACACCGCCACGGCCGAGTTTCACATGTACTAGGATTCTCAACCCAATAGCCAACCGAATAGGCTTGGGTTGACATTATTGAAATCCATTTTCACCCAAGAAAATGGGCGAATCAACCCACTTAATCCATTCTAAGGCGGGTTGGGTTGGGCAGGTTCAATGGGTTGAGATTGTTTACTTTCTTTTTTATTTTGACAAAAAAATAAAAGAAAAAGAGGCAAGTATAAGTGACAAATAATCTAAAATACATATCATATTAAACTTAGTGTGAATATGGTGTTGCAGCATCACTATCTGTTACTTAATTATTAAATTTCATTATTTAACTAAAGTTAAATAAACAAGTGTGTTTAGTAACCATTAAGTTTATATATGTCCATGTAACATACATTTATGTTTAAGAATTGTTGATATTTGGGTGGGTTGATTTCAATCGGATTAATAATACTTTAACCCAACCCAACTCACCTACAAGTTGGGTTGGTCGGGTTGGTCCGTGAACCCACTAAAATGCCTACCCCTAGTTGTATGTTTCACAGGGATGTGATAGGATGTATTTGTAGTGTACCACAACCTATGCTTGATAAGCGGAATCCTAATAGGAAGAGAAATACGAAAATAACACGATACCGGCCGTTTAGTACTATAGGTTTAGTAGTATTCCTCTTAACTTGTAAGTGAGAGGAGTTCGATACCAATTTGTTCCCCTACCCCTTTCAAGTCTTATGTAATACTAAATAGGGTAAATATATTTTTGTATAAAAATAAAATAAAAAATATGCTAAAAACTCAAAATGTTGTTTTGGGCTAGTAAACAATAGAATTCGACTCAAAAAACCCATATCAGACACCAGAGCCCAACCATACAACGTTTTGCTGCTGATTTTATGCTTATCGAGTTGCTCTTCAATCCTTCCACATTCTGCATATTTGTGTTATACTATCGATTTTATGCTTATCAAGCTGCTCTTCAATCCTTTCAGTCATCTTATACTGTACATTGCAAGTAAACATTAATAAATAGCACCATATAGATTGAGCCCTAAAGTTGAAGATGGCTAGTGGTCATGGGCTGAAAAATGGAGTCGGACTCCAAAGCAGCTGCCAACTCCGGCCACAGGATAGAAGAAACAGTCCATGAGCCATCACCCTTTGCACTTGACCTTTGGTTCATGTAAGCCACTCCAATCCTCTCAATTGTGGAACAAACAGTCCCAAGCACCGGACTCCCAAATCCAAAGTCCAACTCACCAACTGGAAACCTACTTCCTGATGACAAAACAAGCGTTGGGCCTCCTTGTCCCAGGACAACCCTGGATAGCATAATCCCAGGCCTGTGACACTCAATCCAATCAATCAAGTCCAAGAAATGCTCCTCATTTGTCACCTTTGAAATTGCCTCACCAACCATATCAGCAACTTCTGAGATTGAATTTTGATTCAAATCACTCACACTTGCCTCTCCAAATGCCACAGACAACACATTTCCAATGTAATTTGACAATGAGTTTTCATCTTCCTTTTTGTGCAATCTAGACCGTCCATCTACCAGCCACCCCATCTTGCACATTCCATGAGATTTTGTATCGATGGCAGTGACCATGGTTTTCCATATGTAAGCCGAGACTGCCTCAATTTTTGTTCTCTGCTTTCCATTTCTTGATGCAAGATTTTGCAGCTGCTTGATGCTCGAACCGTCGATGAAATAAAGACGCTTAATCAAGGTTTTGGCTGTTGGGATATTCATAATCTCTTCCATGGTGCACTTGACAAACGTGTGGTCCAAGGAAGAGTGATACGTTGGAGGGCTTCGCGCACGAAGGTGTAGGTTTCTCCGGTGATCTGGCATGCAGGAAATCGGCTTCTTTCGTGCTATTTCGGACCATGAGAGAAGAAAATTGCCAAAGCTAGTGGCGTCACCAAGTGCATGGTCAAAAGTGAACGTGATTGAAACGCCTCCGCATGTATAAAATGTGGCTTGAACTTGTAAAGGAAAATCAGGGTTGATGGAGACTAGTTTATCCTTTTGAAGAGATAGATCAATATTGTAGAAATTCAATCTTTTCAAAGGAATGTTGGCATGAGCTTCCACAACTAGGGCACCCGAGTTGTCACACATGATTTTGGGCTCGTTGGTATGCGGGTTAGTGACAATTCGACCGCAGAAGGGGTAGTAACAGTCGAGAGTATTGGCAAGGGAGGTCTTTAAGGACTCAATGATAGAGGTAAAGTTGGAAGCATCATGATCGTGATCATGGGGTTTGTTGGGATAGAAATAGAAGTATGTGACCGGAAAGCGGCCGGAGAGCAAGTCGAGGTTTGAGAGAGTGAGGATGTGAGGCTGGTCCGGCATGGGATTTGTAGCTTTGACAATAAACTTGCCGGTGAAGTTCACTTCGAAATCAGTCTCTACTGCCATTGGAAATTATTTTAGCTGGTTTAAGTTTGAGGAAAATCTTTGGGTCATAAGCATATTTATATTGTGTTATGGACACAAGTTGGTGACTCGAACATGAACCTCACAGTCTGTCTGTAGCAAACTATCAAGAAAATTACCCAAATTAACAGACCTATTAGCAATGAATATTGACTCGTTTCGTTATTCCTTTTTAGGAAATGTATCTTCAGTCAGAAACAAACCCCAAAAATTCGAAAATATACCAATCACTGCATAAACACTATTCATGTTAGAATTCGAGTCTTCGAATCATGCGTCAAAGAAACTTCATCAAATTGAGGTACGCGTTCAATAGTTCATTTAAGGATGGATTCACTTTAGTAGGAGATCATATTTTCCAGTGTGCCCGGAACACGCGGCGGAACATCACATCTCACTATACAACTAGAATAACACTTCCAAAAAAAAACTTTACTCCACTTATATAATAGCATGTATTGTATAACCGTATTCCGAATCATTGAAAAATCTATCCCTTAATGGAGTATTGTTGTTATCATTATCTTCTCTTTTTTTCTTTTGTATAATACCTTTCAACGGACACATTTCATAGGAGAATAAAATTTTAGTTTGTATATGGTGACGAAGAGAGTCGGTACTCGGTGGAAAAACACATTTGATTTGAGCCCTCAAGTTTGGCAGGCAACATGATTGTTAACCCATGATTCTGAACCAGCCGTTGAAGAATTGAAGCATAAGAATACACGGAACTCGGCTTAGTTTATATATTCATCAATAATATTCCACAACAAGAGCTAGCTCCATATATCACACTGACTTCTTGAAAAAAGCGGAGATTCCATATAAAATTAATTAATAATATAAGAAGTAATTTAACTTCTTACACGTCTCATCATGTGTGGCGAATTTTCAAACTTAACACATGAATAACACAAACGGAATGACGTGGAATGAATAATGCGAATGGGATGACGTGGAGCACATGTGGCTGTTGGGCTTCACACGTGGGCAAACATGCTTTAATACCATAAAGAAAGTTATGGTTCTACCATAACACCAATTGACAATATAAAAAAATAACTCAGCCTCTTATAAGCCCTTACATGATTTGATCTCTTACCGATGTGGGACTTTGGTCTCACATTTTCATTTTCACACTTGTTCTCTTAGATTCTAGTATCCAATAAAATTTTGTTGTATCTTCTCTTTTAATTTTAGATTAAAATCGAACAGTGAATAACTACGGTTTTTTTATATCATATATCACAAATACAAATGTAATCAATTTGAAAACAACTTTTGTAGATTCCCCATTAGCTTGCTCGCTGTGGGTCAAAAATGCGCGTCATATCATAGTTAGCTTGCCTATTTCGGTACTCATAATACGGACAATATAGTTGATTCCATAAATTTGGGAGGGGGAGGCATTTGCTTTGCTAGCCACTTAAAATTGTAGCATTCTGGTCTCGTCTTTGATACGAAATCTTAGAATCTTAGGGCGTGTTTGTTTACACTCATTAGATCTCACTGTACTAGACTAGCTTAGCTAAGATTATTAAGCCATGTTTGGTGCAAGCTAGGACTAAGTTTAATGGGACTAGCTCGGACTCGTTCCGACTAAACTTTTCGCTAGCTGGGCTTAGCGAGGCCGGGCAAAAAGGATGGGATTGCTAAGACCATCGCTTCGCTTCATCACCGTGCTGATGCTTCGACTTCCTCAGTCGTCTTCCTCTTCATCTTCCACAGATCCCCAACTGCTGCAATTAAGCTTTTCCTCTTTCTCGGCCAACAATCAACCGATTCAGTAGCACCAGCTCTCGCACAGGCCCTACCCGTAGGCTGCATCTCCAGATCTCGTGCCACTGATCGTCGCATCTTCCTCGAGGCCGCCAAGCGCTCTGCCAGGAGGATGCATCTGCAAGTTTGTCGTCGATTTGTAGATCCGACGATCCGAGCCTTTGCAAATTGAAAAAAAAAAATTGGGATTTTTCTGGATTTGATATGAAGAGAAAGTAAATTAAAAGAAGAGAAATATGAGTTTTAATTGAAGAGAAAGCAAATAAAAAAAGAGGAAGTTTCTAGGTTTGATTATTAGTGGAAGCAAATCTGGGCTTGCGAAGAAGAAAATGCAAACCAGAGAAGAAAAGTAGGGGGATGAGGAGAGAGAATCAAATAAAAAAAGTGTGTAAATATTAATAAAATGAATAAGAAAATGACAAAAAAGTATTTTAGCTCTAAAATAATTTAGTCCGTGATTTAGTCTTATATTACATCAAACGCTTCATTATTCTTATACTATTTAGTCCATGCCAAGCCAATCTAGTTTAGTCCCTAAAGTTAGTCCAGTCCGAGATAGTCTGATGCAACAAACGCTCCCTTAGTGCTTGTCTTGTCACCATTAAAAATGTGTTGTGGTTTGAAAATACAAGCATGAGGGCATTAGCATGCATATGTCCACTGAGTCCGGATCCTCTTTTAAAGATCTTGAAGAATTGTGAATCGTCGTTCATCTTACATCGTGCAGTTATAAATCATTTTAAATTTTTTAATTTAAAAATAAATATATACAATACTTGATAAAAACTAACCACATAATGTAAAACGAACGGATATAATTCACAAATCTCTAGGATCTTCATCAAAAGAATCCGAAGAGGATCCTGTTGGTATGTCCACTAATAAGGTGGCCAACAAACACTAATTCCCGAGTTTACTTTATAAATGAATTCGGCCAATTTAATATTTTACGGTCCGAATCTAATGAAATCGTAATTAGAAAACTATAAATTGTTGACATACAAAACATGACATCCAAACGAAAGCACTGCTGCAAGTCCTGTCTTTTTGCATAAAAGTTTTGGATTCCAAGAACCACCATATATGAGCAAGTTAAGAAATACTGACTTGGGTCACGAACAGTGCCTTTGACAGTATAACCCTTTTGCAATAAGAACTTCACCAACCGTGATGCTGTGTAACCCGAGGCTCCTGTTACAGTCTTCCCTTCTCCAGTAATCATCTCTCTCTCTCTCTCTTTCTCTAAGCTTGATTATTAGTTTTTAATGGGATGATTATTTTGGCACTCGTCCACCACTCATTTTTGTGGCACTCCTCCACCACAAATTTTTTTGGCAATCATCCTCCACCACTCCTTTGAGGTGTTCATGATGAGGTAAGTTACGGCGATTTTTGGAGTGTAGTCACTTAATTAGTACACTAAACTTTAAAACCTACTGCAGTCTTATGATATTTAAGTGAAAGATCTTTAGTTTAAATCTTGTAAATAACAAATAAATACCACTTCCCGAACTCCATCTAGCTTATATAGTCAGAGAAATCTGCTTTGCCCTTCCTCCTGTAGAGTGAGTAAGGGCAATTTGAACATTTAGAACATCTCTAGCAGTTCCCAATTGCAAGGTGTGAAACTGCCTTCTTGCCCAAAGAAACTTTGCTCCACCGGTGGAAAATGAGAGGCCAACTAGGGGAAAGGCATGTGGTACACAACGGAGCCGTTCCATTTGGATTTGTTGGATTTCCAACGATAAATTATTGTCCATTTTGGTTAGCTGCCACGTGGCACAATCCTGACGTTCCAACAGTTATAATGTTGAAAATTAATGGCCAAGATTCGGAGCTGTTCCATTTGGATCCGTTGGATTTCCAACGATAAAAAAAAATTATCCTTTTTGGTTAGCTACCACGTGGCACTGACGTTCCAACGGTTATAGTGTTGAAAATCAATAACCAAGATTATTGTAATAGTAAAAAATTCCAAAAATTCCAAAAGAATACTCTCTGTTTTTTTATATAACTCAATGTTCTTCCTTCTTCATTCTTCACACCACAACTCAATATTTATTTTTACAACAATCTGCTATATTTGTTCTCTACCTCCCAAATATTTATTGGAATTAGATTTTATTTGAGAAATAATGACATGTGGAAAATAAGGCCTAGAAAACATAAATATAAAAAATAAAAAATATATATGTAAATCGTAATCTTCCTTGTCTTGCCCCTTCTCCTTCCAAACAAGTGAACTTGCACAAAGACAATTACTATTTGAAGTGAACAGTAAGGACAATTTTATTGTCTTTGTCCTTCAATTGTCATTGCCTTCCACAAACGGGTGGAGATACTCTTAGGTTGGATCAGCTCGGTGCCACCACCAGTAGTTCATAAGAATTGACGGTAGTGCATTCGTACGAAGGCATGTCGCATGGGCACTTGTGGCCTGACGTCTGCAAGGGTGCACATACTGAAGAACGGCGATATTCTGGGCAACGGTTATGCTTCCTCTTTTCGGCTGGACTTATTGTTCATCTTTTCAAATTAAAGCGCATTTTGCATGCATATGAGGAAATGAAAAGAGATGCCATGCCACTAAGAGACTCATATTTCAGTTCATGTAGAGAGATTTCCATGAACACAGTTCTACAAAATAGAAACTGAGGTGGCAATCAATGATATTAGGAAAGTTGTTTAGTCCAATCTACAAGACAACGTGTGAAAGCGTCAACCAAATATATGCAAGATTGTGTGTGGAACAAATAACAAATAGGCAAGAGATAAAGGGAAAAGAAATCTCAACTTGCAGATTTTCATGTAGAGTTAGTTTTGTAAAGATATATAGTGTTGTAAATTTGTAATGGCTTAAGATGTTGACAAGTATCACAAGATAAAGATGTCAGTTATTTTCCTAGCTAAGATTAGTTAGATTGATTAGTTGCTTAGTCTATAAGATTAGTATTAATAGCTCATTTGTTATCATCCATGAAATATACAGAAAAGATTATCTTCTTCTTCTCTGAGTACTTCTTTCTTATTTCTTCTGTTAAGTTCTTCAATCTCTAAAGATTAACAAATTTGAAATATTGCAAATTACACATGAGCCATATATTTATCAACGATCTAAATGCAACTTCTGAGCATTTGCCTAGACAACTCTGAGGCACTCTACAGAATACATTTAACATTTTGACAGGACAGATATGATGTCCAGCATCTATTTGGAATACTTAAGCAAAAAACCAACTTCACTTCCCAATTATTTGATCGATTACTCTGTGTAACAAATTGCTGCAAGTAGCAGAATTCAAATGTTGAGGAAGCCCTTCTCCTTGAGGCTTTCAACAGTGTCTCTGATACTCTTTTCCAGAGGAAGGAAATTGATTCCCAAACCTTTTGCTTTCTCTATGGACACTTGAAACTTTGAGTCAGAAGGATTGCCAAACTCCGGAAGGCACAATGTGGGGTAAAGTTGTTGCAAAATCTTGAGAGTATCGGGTCCGTCAGCAACCTGGGCAACTAAACAATATCTACCTTTAGCTGAAGGAACTTCAAATGCTTGAATATGAGCAGAGGCAATATCTCTAACGTCTACAAATGGGTAGTTTATAAACGGTGTTTCGATACCTGACCACGAAAGAGAAACAAAACACAATTTATAGCTGGCTTCACAAAGAATATTGTTAAACACAAAGGGGATGAATTGTACCACTCATGAGATTCTGAAAAAACTTGATGGAGATATTAAGAGTTGGCCGTAATAGTGGACCAATCGTAAACCCTGGATGTAATGTAACCAAGTCAATCCCATTTTCTTCGGCAAATTTCCAGGCGGCCTGCTCAGCTAAAGTTTTTGAGAGACGATACCATTGCTGAACAAATGAAGAAGGGAGTTCATATGAGTTTGTAGTCATCATCATGTACTACATTGTCTTGTGTTATGCTTACCTCTATATTCAAAATTATAAATAGAACGGGAACGTACACAGACATACCTTGATCTTCTCACAAAAAAGTGGATCCGAATAGTATGTTTCGTCCACAACCACATCAGAGGTCAGAGGTTTTCCAGTCGACATTACTGCAGCCATAGAAGATGTCATAACCACTCTCTTAACAGCGGGGAATTTCACGCATGATTGTAGAACATTAAGCGTCCTTTAACTGCAGGCTCAACTAATTCAGCCTGAAATATGGAAGAAGAAAAATATCAGGCTGGTTTCTACATCATTGTTGAAAGCATATCGATTTTCTAACAACATAGTTGGAATATTTGAAGCATGAAGTGAAAGGGCAAACCACTGACCGAAAATTGAACAGGAGATGCTGTATGAAAAACACAAACACATTCATCAACTACAGCGTCGAAAGATCCTTCTTCTAGTAAATCTGCTTTGAACAAATGAAGCCTTTCTTTTGCTCCATCTAGTGAGAGTAAGTGTTCTGTTTTGTTTGTATCATCTGCGGAATGCATAAAAAGAACTACTGAGTTGGCCTAAGGTTACTACAACTTTCCAAGAAATAAAATAAAATAACTGGATACACAGTTTGTCATCCAAAACAAAAGCACTAGTTTTCAATTCAACTTTACCATATTATCGAGGAAACTTAACAAAAAACTAATAGTACTGTTCATTTTAACGAAAAACCACATTTTAATGCTAAAAAGTCAATTCTGGTACTATTCACTTTACCTTTTATTTTATCCTTATCGTTAAAATTCAAAGTTTTCAAGCCATTTTCATTAGTTTTCCTTATTATCAACCATCGCAAGAGGTAGGATGCTAACTTCATTTTTACATTATGCACCCTTAGGTTTGAGTGGAATTGCAAACTCATACCTCATATTTGAAATATAAAAATGTTATACACAAACTTATGTTGTAATTGTTATGTTATACAATTATTTGTCAAATTGTTAAATTGATTGTTAAGTGATTTTGTGACACTTCCACAATTTTGTCGAAGTGAATGTCACTAACACTCAACATAGAAAAAAAAACATTTAAAATAATAAATGACGTTTCATGTTAAATTTTTTTAAACATAGTGGACCTCACCCCTACAACTATTCACCTTCAACCTCCTTCACTCAACAGATTTTCAATGCGCTCGGAACGTAAGAACTTATGATATATGTCATTATACAAGTCGAAAAATACTTATAAAAACACTTCACTCTTTTTGTATAATAAGACATTAAAAAATATCCATCTTTTATTGGTTCCTTTAGAAAAATCGAGTTTTGTTTTCACCCCAACAATCAACCAATACTTCCCATCACTTCTGCATCAAAACTAAAATAAATAAATAAAAAACCCGGATTTATCTTCCTCAATTAAAATTTTCAATGAAATCATCTGGTCACCACGAAGGCACACGCCCAAGATTAGAGATCTCCCAACCTTGATAATATGCTAGTTGATAAAAATTCTCAGTCAAATATGGGAACAAATTGCGCTGGGGGAGGGCTGGAAGGGAAAGAAGTCTCTTCAGATCAAAATTTCGGTTTCACCAAGAAAAAAAAACACTATTTCAGAATATGACTTGGATCCGATAAACTTTCTTTTTGAAGACAAAAATACAAAATACAAAACCCAGAATTTGAAAATGACGGTATCAAAATAATTGTAAGTCAAGAAAAGGAGGAAGAAGGGATGTAGAAGTAATACTTACTCGGATCACGAACAGAAGCTTTGACAGCATAACCTCTTTGTAGTAAGAGCTTCACAAGCCATGACGCTACGTAGCCGGAGGCTCCTGTTACACACACAACCTTCGTTTCTCCACTCATTTTCTCTCTGTATCTATATCCGTAACCACTTCAGTTATGTAATGGTAGAGTTGGTGTTTTTTTTTTTATGGTGGAATGCTAGCTGAAGAATACCTGTTATGTAATGGCCCGCCATTGTCTACTATGAAGATTGACCAGATGGGAGCACTATTACTTAACACCTGTTATTTCATCTGCTCAAACACTGCAAATCAACACGTCATCGGTACTTGCTGCATGGAGCCAGAAAAAAAGGATACAGATCATCTTCGAATTTATTCCACCAAGGTCACCGGATTAAGTGATTCGGACTTTCTAAATTTTATCTAATAGTCCACATGTTTTGATCTCTTAAAAGCTGTGATAATTTTTTACTATTGAATAAAATTTAGAAGGTCCGGATCACTTGATCTGATAACTTTGGTGAAAAAGATCCGAGAGGATCTCTTTCCAAAAAAGAGTACGGTACCTG